TATTGAAAGAAGCTGTTTAAAGACCACAATATTCCAATCGTACCACATGGATTTTGTTTTTAAAAGACAGGAAACTACAAGATGTAATGAATCATAAATTAAAATATCCAAATCTCCCAAAATATCAGCCAGTGGATGTTCCCTCCCGCCAAATAAGTGTTGTGTCCAACTTGAAATGGAGCTTGACCTGGGGGTTAACATTAGCACGATTGGGGAGGGGGCAAAAAGTGCCAAACCTCTTCAGGTTCAGATGATTTTTAATTGACAAGTTTGGTTAGAAACGAAACAGTTTTGCAGATAAGTCTTTTTTGATCAAAAAAAACTTTTTTTTAAAAGAGTTATAAATGCAGTGGATGACAAGAAATAATAATAATAATAAACCTTGCATTTGATATAGCGCTTTTCACGTCGGGAGGACGTCCCAAAGTGCTTCACAGAACACACTGTAAAGTGAATTGACTGTATATTTGTGGGCGAACGCGGCAGCCAATTGCGCACAGCAATGTCCCGCAAACAGTCGTAGATTGAAAATGACCAATTTATTATTGTTTTTTTGGTAAAAATGCCAAAGGTCTAAAAATCAAAATCATTCAACATGGCAAAGGGGATCCCATTCAAGGCTCCCATCAGTTCTTTGATAACAAAGATGCTGGGAGGACAGTGATCAAAATAATTGGTTTCCAAAAGTCACGTCGTTTGAAACAGTTCACAACAACAAAAATAAGTCAACTCAGTGGTGACTCAGTCAATCCTGGATTCGCCCAGTTTGGTCGGATTGCGAAATAGGTATGAAAAGCCGGACTGGGTTCTTCTTTTTCACAGACTCAAATGAGAACAGGTGGACTCACTCACTGGAGTTGGCAAGTTTGGGGTGAGGTGGGGGGAACGAATGCATTTCCCCCCCCTACACCCACCCACCCACTCACTCACACCCTCACCCACCCACCCACTCACTCACTCACACCCTCACCCACCCACCCACTCACTCACACCTTCACCCACTCACTCACACCCTTACCCACCCACTCACTCACACCCTCACCCACTCACTCACCCACCCACTCACTCACACTCTCACCCACCCACCCACTCACCCACACCCACCCACTCACACCCTCACCCACCCCCTCACTCACTCACTCACACCCTCACCCACCCACTCACTCACACCCTCACCCACCCACTCACTCACACCCTCACCCACCCACTCACACCCTCACCCACTCACTCACACCCTCACCCACTCACTCACACCCTCACCCACTCACTCACCCACCCACTCACACCCTCACCCACTCACTCACACCCTCACCCACCCACCCACCCACCCACACCCTCACCCACTCACTCACACCCTCACCCACCCACCCACCCACCCACACCCTCACCCACTCACTCACACCCTCACCCACTCACTCACCCACCCACTCACACCCTCACCCACTCACTCACACCCTCACCCATCCACCCACCCACTCACTCACTCACACCCCCACCCACCCACTCACTCCCTCACTCACACCCTCCCCCACCCACTCACTCACACCCTCACCCACCCACTCACTCACACCCTCACCCACCCACTCACTCACTCACACCCTCACCCACCCACCCACCCACTCACACCCTCACCCACCCCCTCACTCACACCCTCACCCACTCACTCACACCTTCACCCACCCACCCACTCACTCACACCCTCACCCACTCACTCACACCCTCACCAACTCACTCACTCACACCCTCACCCATCCACCCACCCACTCACTCACACCCTCACCCACCCACCCACTCACTCACTCACACCCCCACCCACCCAACCACTCACTCACTCACCCCCTCACCCACCCACTCACCCTCACCCCCACCCACCCTGGTTTCTGAGTGCGTAAATACAACCACCAGCAAATGTTGCAGAAGAGGAGCGAAAAACGTCGCTGTCTTTTTTTTAAAAAAACACAAACAACAACAACAACAAATATTGATCTTAAACCCCCCCTCAAAAAAAAAAGACAAAACAAAAACATCCCAATTCCAAGCGATGCCAAAGAAAAACCACCCAAAGATGCGGCCGTCTGTGGAAATCGGCGCTGCGTTAACTTATGTGTTGCGACTTTGTGGGTGAAACGCACCGCCACCGCAGTGTCACCCCACTCACCCCCCACCCCCACCACTCCCTCCCCCCACCCACCCCCACCACTCACCCCCCACCTCCCACCCCCACCACTCACCCCTCCCTCCCCCCCACCACTCACCCCCCACCCCCACCACTCACCCCTCCCACCCCCACCACTCAACCCCCACCCCCACCACTCACCCCTCCCACCCCCACCACTCACTCCCTCCCACCACTCACCCCCCACCACTCACCCCTCCCTCCCCCCACCACTCACTCCCTCCCACCACTCATCCCCCACCCCCACTCACCCCTCCCTCCCCACCACTCACCCCCACCCCCACCACTCACCCCCCACCCCCACCACTCACCCCCTCCCCCACCACTCACCCCCCACCCCCACCACCACCACTCACCCCCCACCACCCCCACCACTCACTCCCTCCCACCACTCACCCCCCACCTCCCACCCCCCACCACTCACCCCTCCCTCCCCCCACCACTCACTCCCTCCCACCACTCATCCCCCACCCCACTCACCCCCTCCCTCCCCCACCACCACTCACCCCCTCCCCCACCACTCACCCCCCACCCCCACCACTCACCCCCCACCCCCACCACTCACCCCCACCCCCACCACTCACCCCCACCCCACCACTCACCCCCACCCCACCACCCACTCAACCCCTCCCACCACTCAGCCCCTCCCCCCACCACTCACCCCCTCCACCACCCACCATTCACCCCCCCACCACTCACCCCCTCCCTCCCCCACCACCACTCACCCCCTCCCCCCCACCACCACTCACCCCCCACCCCCACCCCCACCACTCACCCCCACCCCCACTCACCTCCCACTCACCCCCCACCCCCACTCACCCCCCCACCACTCACCCCCCACCACTCACCCCCTCCCACCACTCACCCCCTCCCTCCCCCCCACCACTCACCCCCTCCCACCACCCACCATTCACCCCTCCCACCACTCACCCCCTCCCTCCCCACCACTCACCCCCCACCCCTCCCTCCCCACCCCCCCTCGGCTCGGCCCGTGCAGTGCAAACTGCTTCAGGAAACACCCAACAAAAGTTGCCGCGAAGGCTTCTTTCGTGCGCGTTTCACTTTGCAGCCAAAGCCACTCCACAGCACAACCACCTCTCTCTCTCTCTCCTCTTTCTCTTCTCTCTCTCCTTCCCCCCCTCCCCTCCCTCTCTCCCCTCCCTCTCTCTCTCCCGCCGGCAATCCCCGAGCCGACTCACTCCATTAAGTCACGTGTGGCAAATGCACTGTCAAGAATTAGTGTCGTTGGAGAGTGGGACAGACAGACAGACACTGACTGACTGACTGACTGACTGACTGCGGCCGATGGAGAAACCCGACCTCCTGAGCACCGACGCAACACGGAATGATTTGGGGCCGCAGTCGGAGGAGGAGGAACTCAATCAGCTCCGAGTCTCAGACCCCCGGAGTGAGTGAGAGAGAGAGAGAGAGAGAGAGTGTGTGAGAGAGAGTGAGTGAGTGACAGAGAGAGTGTGAGTGAGAGAGAGTGTGAGAGAGTGTGAGAGTGAGAGAGAGAGAGTGACAGAGAGTGTGAGTGTGTGTGAGTGAGAGTGAGTGAGTGACAGAGAGAGTGTGAGTGAGAGAGAGTGTGAGAGTGTGAGAGTGAGAGAGAGTGACAGAGAGTGTGAGTGTGTGTGAGTGAGAGTGAGAGAGTGAGTGAGTGAGTGAGAGAGTGAGTGTGAGAGTGAGAGTGTGAGAGTGAGAGAGAGAGAGTGAGTGACAGAGAGTGTGAGTGTGTGTGAGTGAGAGAGAGAGTGAGTGAGAGAGAGTGAGAGTGAGTAGCTTTGAAACCCAAAGGGGAAAGTTCCTCGGGCAAGTTGCAAATATCGCTGCAAGTTCTTCTCCCACTTGTAACACAAGAGGCAAAGTGCAATCTTAGCACTCACTCCCCCCCCCCACTCACCCCCCCCCCCCCACTCACCCCCCCCCCCCCCCACTCACCCCCCCCCCCCCCCCCCCACTCACCCCCCCCCCCCCACCCCTTCTGGGCGCTTTAAATCCTTCTTTTTTTAATGTGTGTGTTTAACGAAAAGAAATGCAACCTCGAATCAATGCCACGATAAACGTTTGCATCTTCATCCATCCCCCCCCACAAAAAAAAAGAGATTAACTGAATCCCGACCCGTCGGCAGGTTTTGTTTATTTATATACATATATATATATGTGTGTGTGTGTGTGTGTGTGTATATATTACTATCGCGGTGCAAAAGTTGCTCTGATCGAATCGAATGGTTTCGCCCGACTTGAGCAGTGAAAGGGAGACAGACAGAGACACACACAGACAGAGAGACAGAGAGAGACAGACACACACACTGTACTCTCTGGACTCGGTTGGAGAAACCACACGTTTACGAAACGTTTGCCTCCTGTCTGTCTGTCTGTCTCTACCCCCCCCTTCCCCCCCTTCCTCATCCTCCTCCTCCTCTCCCCCTCCTCATCTCCCTCTCCTTCTTCCTGGGCAGTCAGGAAAGAAACCGAGTCGTTGGTTGGTTTTAAGTGCATTGCAGAATCCCGTGTCCTCCACAACAACAACAACAACAACAACAAAAAAGAGAGAGAGAGAGAGAGAGGCTTTTTTTTCCTCTCGTCTAATAAACGACTACAAAAACTCTCGCCGCCGAAGAACTGGGAACAACGTGGTTAGAAAGGCACTAAAAATCCACACAAACCTTTAGCCACAGACACACAGACGCAGGAAAAAAAAACACCCACTAAACTTTTTTTTTGGTGGGGGGGTGTTTGGGGGGGTGGGTAAGTTTGGAGGAGAGGGGGAAGAAGAGAGCAGAGGTAAAATAAGTAAAGAAAACTTTTAAGACAAACTTACCACAACTGAACCTCGGCGTATCGGGAAGAGCCACAGCGACGGAGAGAAGATGCAATATAATATTCTTTTTTTTTCCACGTTAATAATTTTTTTTTTGGACCGGGCTTTTTGGGGGTGGGAGGGTGGGAGTGTGTGTGTGTGGGGGGGGGGGGTGGGGGGGAGGGAGAGAGAGAGAGAGAGGAGAGGGAGGGAGGGAGGAGAAGAAAGAGAAAGGAGGAGGAGAAAGAGGAGGAAGGGGGTTGGGGAGTTGAGAGAGGGAGAGAGGGAATTGTATTTATTATTTTATCTTCTCTGTCTCTGTCTCTCTGGGGGTGTTATTTCCCGGTCGTGGCTGCTTTAGGACTTGGTAGTTGTTTGGTTTGCAGTCGTTATCGTTGCAGCAGCAACAACAACAACAGCAGCAGCAGCAGCAGCAGCAACAACAAAAAAAAGGCGCAACGCTTTTGGGGTTGTTACGAGTTGCAAAGATGTATATCAATAATAATAATAATAATAATAATAATAATGATGACGATGATGAAGACAGTTCAGCACCGAACCCAGAGAGTAAATAACAAGGGGTGGAGGGGTGAGAGAGGACAGATGCCTTGGCGGGCTGGGGCTGGGGCTGGGCTGGGGCTCACACTCCCCCGGGCTCCCCCGGCTACAGGCGTCAGACAGACAGACAGACAGACAGACAGACAGACAGAGGGAGACAGACAGACAGACAGACAGAGAGAGAGAGAGTATTTTTTTGTAAGGCGCGTCTCGCACTTGACTGGAATAAAATGTTAACCCTCTCTCTCTCTCTCTCTTTTCTCTCTCTCTCTCACATACACAAACACAGACAAACGCACACGAGGACACACGTCCCGTCCCCCCCCCCCCGTTTCCCCCCCCCCCCCCAATGTTTTTTTGTGTGTGGGTGGGAGGGCAAAGAGAAGAGAGAGACACAGAGTGAGTGAGTGAGTGTGTGAGAGAGAGAAAGGGGAAGAGAGAAATATGCACAAAAGCACCGCTTTGCACGTGCCAGTGGCTGACAGTTTCACCACCTCCTCCCCCCCCCCTCCCTCTCTTCTCCCCTCCCTTACATGACAGAAACTCTTGTACGTGTGTATCTGTGGTAAAACGAGGAGAGAGGAGGTGGTTTGCAAAGTGTGAGGGAGGGAGAGAGAGGGAGGGAAGGAGGATAGAGAGAGAAAGAGAGAGAGAGAAAGTGGGTGGTTGGTTGGTTGGGTGGAAGGCTGTGTATTTCTAATCTTTTGCAAAAAAAATGTTTTAAATTTGCAGCCTGAGAGTTCTTGGCGGACTGGAGAGAGAGAGAGAGAGCCCTCCCACCCCGGGGAGGGGAGTAGGAGAGAGAGAGAGAGAGAGGGGGGGGGATAGATGGATGGATGGAGGCGGAGGGGCACCTTGTTATTTTGGGGGAGTGCACCGTCCTGGTGACGTCACATCCACCTGCTATGTAAACAAAAGACTTCAATGTTGTGTTTGATTGTATTCTCTCTCTCTCTCTCTCCTTCCCTCCCTCTCTCTCCTTCCCTCTCTCCTCTCTCTCTCTCTCCTTCCCTCCCTCTCTCTCCTTCCTCTCTCTCTCTCTCTCGAGCTTCGGGCTTGCAGCTCTCCAGCCACCACACTCTGCAATCGGTGTGATTGGGGGGGGGGCGACGAGAGCGAATGAGTGAGTGAGTGAGTGAATGAATGAATGGATGGATGGAACGAATGAATGAGCCAAAGAGAGGGAGGGAGTGAGAGAGAGATAGAGAGATGAGGAACCTACATCTGAGCTGGTTAACGGGTGCATCTCCCTCTGCAAAGGATTCGTGGTTCAAGCACCAAAGCATGAGAGTGAGACACTAGGAAAGGGTGTCAGGGTGTGTGTGTGTGAGAGAGAGAGAGAGAGTGTCTTGTCTGGGGGATAAAACTGGGGGGGAGGGATAAAACTGTGGGGGGGAGAAGGGATAAAACTGTGGGGGGGGGAGGCATAAACGTGGCAACGATGCAAAGATCAAACTCTTGCAAACGCCAAAAAAAAAAGGAAAAGGAAAGTATCTGATCGCACGAGTCTCTGGTGCTTTTTTTTCACTCTTCAGAATGGTTAAAAACTCGAAGAGAGGTGCAGCTGAATTGCATTGCTCTTTTTTTTTAAGGAAAGAAAAACGGAAAAATACAAGTGCGACGTTCGGGATCGACACTTGAAAAGATAAAAGAAACAAGTTTGATGACTCTTCTCATTTCGTTCTCTCTCTCTCTCTCTCTCTCTCTATCTCTACCGTCCTCTCCCAACACCCCCCCTCTCCCCACCCCTCAGATTCCTTTCCTGGGACCACAATACGTATCATATTGTGTAGTTTGTTTGCAGCTAAACTGCCGGATAGCCATCGCTTCTTTTGCATATCACATCAAGTCAAAGAAACTCCTGTGAAAAGTAGCGGGTCTCCAGAGCGCAGGGCACAAGAAAGACAGGAGGAGGAGGAGGAGGAGGAGAGGGTGGGTTGGAGGAGGAAGAGAGGGTGGTAGTGGGGAGGGAGGAGAGAGAGCAAAGCTTTGTGTGTGTGTTGTGTGTGACTGTTAGCCAATGAAGCCCAGACGAGTTCGCAAGGTGAAAGTTCAGTGCAAGGACACAGTTTACAGAAATGTTTGGACTGGTGCACTTTTGCCTTAAAAGAATGTACCTCAGCACTGCAAACACACACACACACACACACAGGACTACACAACGTGCAATAATTGCACACCACACTTTTCTGATCTCTCTCTCTCATTCCCCCCTCTCTCTCTCTCTCTCGGCTACAAGGAGATGCGGGGACTTGTCAAGCGGTTAAACTCCAGGTTGCACTCCTCCTCCAAGTGACGTGTGGATGTCAGCTTTTCAATCACTTCGAGAGAGACAGAGACAGAGACAGAGAGAGGGGAGGAAAAAAAAAGTGGATCTTTCATTTTTACATTCCACCACCTTCCCCCAATCCACTGCAACCCTTGTGTGTGTGTGTGTGTGTGTTGTGTGTGTGAGGCAGATAATCCCCCCCCCCCTCACCCCCCCACCACCATCCCACCCCTCGATTTACAGCGATCCAACACTGAATTCGCCTCCAGTTACCTTTATTAATGCCTTTGCAATCCAACTTTGTTGCCTGTCCTTCTCCCATTATTTGCAACCCCTCTGACCCAGATCGCTTCCCTCCTGATGAAAAAAATATTACTCATTGGGGGGGGGGGAAGAGAAAAAAAAAACCCGAGTAAGTATTTTCAGGGGTTTAGCGTGATCTTGTCTTAAGATATCCGAAGGTATTTCATTGCTCTCTCTCTCTCATCCTCCCTCCCTCCTTCCCTCTCTCTCTCTGTGTCTCTCTCCTGTGCGCTGTAACATTGGGGCACAAAACAAAAGCTTATCTGCTTTTGAAAATGCTTTCTCCCCCCCACCCCCCGACCTTCAACTGAGACAACACAAATCAGCCTGATTTGTGTTGGCAATAGAGGTGCTACATGTTGTTTTGCTTCTCGGTGGACAAACGTAATGTAACAATAATAATAATAATAATAATAATAGTATTTGGAGCGTTTTAAGAGTTCTCAGACACCGACTTCAGGACTCAATCCCAGCTCCATCCTCGCTGACCACAAACTCCACCATGAACAACAGTACCTACAAAACAAAACGCAATAACCCGCCGTATCGTCCAGAAATAAGATCCAAACACATCATAATAAATAACTAAATAAATAAGAAATAAAATCCAAACTGGAGAAAGTGGTTTGAGCGCTTCGGATAATGGTATCAATGTGAGAATTGGGCGCAAAACACGTGAAATCCCCCCCACCCCCACCCCCCCAACCCCCCCCCCCCCACGAAGGGGACTGAATAAATCAATCAATGTCTCGTTACGATCCACGCACTTAAAACGCCACAACGCGAAGAAAGTAAACATTTTTTGTTCACGCAACGCTCTCGACGTTCAAACCCTCTCTCGTGGTCTCTCCACTCACACGAGTACGTTTCAATAAATTGTAATTGTGTGTGTGGGGGTTATTCTTTTTTTACCAGATTTGAGCACCAAATAAAACTGGAGGTGATTCCCGATCCGCGATCTCCTGTGATATACGCCAGAAAAGAACACACAGAATTTCCGAATCCACCCTAAAGAAAAAGGACATCAAACATTAATACTTGGAATAGTATCCATGGTATCCCCCTCACCTCCAGACACCCACCCCCACCCCCCACCACCACCCCATCCCCTCCCTCCACAAACAAACGCATTCCACGACAATACATATTTCAGAACAATATGAAAATAAACTTAAAAGAGAAGAAATATTGCAATTCCGCTCTAATTGTGTGTGTGTGTGTTTGTGTGTGTTTTTCCGCAAAGTCGGGACTAAAAACTAGACCACGACATGGGATCAAGCTTCTTGACATGTTGCTCGGGGTGGGGGTTAAACTCCCAACTAAATCCTTGACTATCATATATTTTTTTTCCCAAAAAAATATAACGCATCTCCAAAATGTTCGTGTGGGGTTTTTTTTTTGGTGCAGGAGCGAAATCCTTCGGGTGTTTGTTGGCACGAGTTTTATTTGCACCCTTTTGCATCGCCTAAACTTCGGAAACAACCCCCCACCCCCCCCCCCCAAAAAAAAAAATAATAAAATAAAAAAAAAGCAGCAGCGACTTCTTCGCCGAATTATGATTCTATTTTCAACGCAGAACTTTGAACCAACGCTGCGGTTTCCGCAAACGCTGTGCGTAAAAGTCTCAACTGCACAGCTGGAGGGGTTGGGGAAGGTGCAAATGGCTCAAACTTCAGTTGCGAGTCGGTAACAGATAAAACTCTGGGTTTAGTACTCCATCTAACGACACAACTTCAGAAAACCTACAACAGACAATATCGCACTTAAAGAGAAAAAGTTCTCTCTCTTTTTTTTATTGACCTGAGCTGTTGCACCAGCGATGTTGAAGCCTAAGGTGAGATTGCACTTACAGTCTCCGACGATGATATCCCTTTCAATAATAAAACCGCTATCGTTTAAAATTATCATCGCTTTGCAGAAGAAGTGGAGGCGCGATCCACAGAGAGGAAACTCAACACATTATTATGTACTTAACGCGTTAAACATTTTTTAAAAAAAACCGTGAGTATAAAATCCCTGAGATATTAAAGTTTTTTTGGGGGGGGTTATTTTTGGAAGACATAGATTTTTAAATAAGAGAGAGAGAGAGGGTGGGGGTGGGGGGTTAAAGAAAAAAAGAAGAGAAAGAGAGAGAGAGAGAGATGGGAAATGAAAACATTCGGAGGCTCAGAGACATTGACAGGTATTTTACTGGAAATACTCCTGGACCCCCCCCCCCAAAAAAAACCGGTTGCAAACTCAAATGATATCATGTGTTGGGCTCAGGTAATTGGAAATTGTTATTTAACGGTGGGGTGTGGGGGGAAGGGGTGTGTGTGTGTGAGAAAGGGCAGTGAGTTTGGGAGTGTATTTGCTCGTTGCAGAGCAAATCCACGTCCTCTTTTTATTTTGAAAGGTGTCTCGTCCTTCGAAACATTCTGTGGCAATTGCACGACGTTGAACTAAAACGCGACTTTTTTTTTATATGGCTATTTACTGACATTCCTGTAGTTTCGGTGTGTGCGGTGTGTGTAGTGCTGGTGTTGGGGGGTGTGGGGGGGAGAGAAAGCTTTGCAGTCGGACGCCCCCCTCCCTCTCCACCCGTTGTGTAAACCGAAACGATTCCGAGATCGAAGGGAAACTTCGGATCGTTTGCGTTTTGCGCAACTGTTCGCAGAACATTTCTGAGTCGCCTTTGGCTTTTTTTTCCTCTCCAAATCGTATTTTTTTTAAAAAAAAACACAGGTTTCGGTGTTGCCCGCAGACTCAGGTTTCCGAAACGTACGTATTTGAGGCCAAAATCGATGCAAAACCCGCTTGTTTGGAATAAATTTTTTTTTTGGTTCAGTTCGCTTGTTGTTCTGTGGAGTTTTATTTTTGATATAGATATATATATATATTGAAAAAAATGTATATTTGAGTCTGTTATTGCAATGCAAGTTTTACTATTTGCAAAGCATATCGATGATACGGTAAATAGCTCTGTTGATGTGTAACAAATACTGCTGAACTGATCAGTCTTATCGTTAACGAAAACCCAGCGCTTTGCTCTCGTCCCTTTCGAATTGCTGTAGCGAGCGATCACCCAGTAAAATAATAAATAAAAAGGAGAGGGAGGGTGGGGGTGGGGGGGGGGAAGGAGAGAGAGAGAGAGAGAGAGAGAAAAGGGGGAAAAAATGCCTGAATTGTGGATATCTAGTGCCACCTGCCGTTTAAATCAATAAAGAGCTGTAACCCAGATGGCAAATAATACGAATAATGCAAGAAAAAGAGCCAGACTTTTCGGCACAAGTGCCGAAAGATGCAAACGATAAACATTTGTAGGAAATAATATTTGATGCAAGAGTCCCCCAGAAGCTTTTACCTGGTCCGACAGTCCGCGGCGAGTGTGGACCGGTGTCTATAACTTTGTATCCGCCACATTTGATACCATCCCCTCACTGCAAAGTGCAAATTCCCACTCATTGACAGACAGTAACAGTAACAGTTACAGTACTTTGTTTTTCAAATGCTCTTACTCGTATCTCATTTAAGGATCGGGGTAAAAGAAAATGACCAAAAGATTGGGCAACACCTTTCAGTAAAGTTTGAGTTTTATGGGCATTATATTTTTTTGGGGGAAAAAAAATGCATTTTAAGCACAAACTTAAAATGTACAAATTGGTGCAAATATGTACAAGGGGTTGGTTGGGTGGTTGGTTGGGAGGGGAAAGGAATCTTATTCTTATAACGGGAGGGGGGGGGATCGCCAGAGAGCGCAAATATAAAGCCCTGACACAGGCGCTGTTATTAAAATAACAGTTTGTTTTAAGAAAAAAAAGAGTATTTTAGGAATTGAACGTGCGAAGTAAAGCGACAATGACAACATACCCCACTGCCCCCCCCCCCCCCCCCCCCCACACACACACGCACACATTAAACTAAACCCACTGTATTCAGACTGTGCTTAAAATTATTGGGGGGGAAAATAGTCGACCTGTCCTAAAGTTTAAAAGAAACCTTTGCACAGTGAGTGTTAAGTGCGTTAACAATGAAATCACATCTCTGGCAAAAGTGAAACGCAGACTGGGTCGACTGGAGGCATCCGAAATACAGCACAGATGCTCTGTGCAAAGCAGTGGGGGGAAAATGTTACACTACAGAGATATAATATAATATATATAATATATATAAACAGTATTTTTGTACGTTAAAATCGGCACCTTTTCCTTCTGCAGATACCACTTGTAACTTGCAGCCGGGAAGGCGATTCGAGTTGCAAACGACTTTCTGTTCAAAGTTCCCTTTGTTTATTTTTAAAGCAACGCCTGAAGATCGAAAGCTGAGACAGACTCTGGTCAGACACACCGCAGGTTAGGGCAGAGCGACTTAATAATGTTTATTGTGCTCACAGGTGGTGGGGACAGCGCTGACACTTTTCCTCCTCCTCCTCCTCCATCCTCCCACCACCACCACCACCACCACCCCCCAAAAAAAGAGAAGAGAAATCTCTTAACAAGAGATCCACCTTATCATCAGTGGTATCTTTATCATACAATATCTTACAATATTCACACATCGCATAACCCGAGCGAGTCACAGGCGCCCCAACCGACTCCAAATCGTAATCAAAGAGGGTTTTAAGTGATGCAGATCTATACTTTTCTCTCTCTCTCTCTCTTTTCTGTCTCAGGAATAAGGGTGCAATCGGCGTTTAATTCCTCTCACTGAGCGGAATTATTCTTTCGAGGCGAAACTGGCAATTTTAAGTGACGCTCTGCGAAACGGATCGACGCTGCGCTCTCTCTCCCTCTCTCTCTCTCTCACTCTCTCTGCTCTGGGACCGCGGGCGGCAGGTGTTAAAGGTAAGGCGACTCGAGCAAAGGGAAACAGCAACGTTACAGGGTCCAGAGGGGTTCAAAACGATTTGAAAACACATTCCGGGGCAAGTTTCGGAACCCCACGTACCTCTCCCAAGTTTACACTTAAAAAGTCTTAAGGTGTTAAAGGATCTCTCTCCTGTTTCCAGCAACAGCACAGCTCCCAACACTCCCTCTCACTCCCTCTCCCCCCCCCCAACACACACACACACACACCCTCCTCTGCCCTCAGAACAACATACAGCACATTTATCCCTCCGAGTGACCAGGTGATACTGTACCTACAACACACAGCCCAGGGCTCCGTAAGTCTCTGGATTTGCTAAGATTTATTTCCCCCCCTTTCGCAGCAGAAGAAGCGGAAAGCATATATTTCGAAAAGGTGCTCTGTGAGCAATCTCTGACCGCCTCGGCTCGTTTTGGAGCGGAGGGGGTGTTGTCGATCGGTACCACAGGTAGAGTTGCAATTGCATTAGTTGGTGACCTTGCTTTGGGGTTACAGTGCAATGGCGAGTTCAGGTGAGTGTGTGGTTGTATTTTGTTTTGGGGGGTTGGGGTGGGGGGTGGGATTTTACACTTTAGGGTGTTGGACGTGGCCGATTCCCTCTTTGCAACAGTGTGCATCAGGTCAGTGGGTGCTTTTTGCCAACGCCTTTGGTGTATTTATTGCCCCCCGGACTCCCACCGGGTTGAGCGCAGATTCTTCAGGTTTCTCGTTAAAAAAGCAGCACCGACAACAGTCACCCACAGCAGCACTGATCAAAACACTTTCAATTTGCAGCCGCCTCTCATCTGCCTCCCTGACAAGTTATCAAGAGCTTGTTTTATTCCCCCCCCCCCTCCCTCCCTCCCTCCCCATCCCATCCAACACAACTCCAATAGATTGAGGCAAAGCTGTTTTGCAGATGTAACGGGGGATAAACCAACAAAACGCACTGTGTGTGTCAGACTGACAAGAAAAAAACCCTATTTTACAAGACAAAGGGACAGAGACATTTCGCTGAAGTATCAAACCAGCAAATCGAGGATGGAAACAGCGATGGAAATAAATAAACCTGATGTTATTGTGATCACACTGGGGTTTTTTTTTGCCATGACTGGAGGGCAAGCAGGGGGGGGGGGGGGGGGGGGAGGAAGAGGAGGTGGGGGGGGGGGGGGAGTCAAGTCAATCTCCACAAACGTGCAACTAATTCATCAAGGAATGAATCACGATCTCCAGACTGGTTAATGCGAAATGAGAGATTCGTAACCATTTGCAACCCAGACAGTGAAATCACCTGCCCCCACAACTGACTCCAAATTAACTGAAGGTTTGGATCTCTCTCTCTCTCTCTCTTTTTCTTGGCAGGAAGTTGTTACTGAACGATGCACGAACTGACATGTGCTGAATTAACAGCCCGCAGTTTGCTGAGCAATGGAAACGCCAACTGGAGAACATCTTTTGCGCTTTAGGTCGGGATTGCACCACGAATTCTAACTCGGAAAGTTTAACTGCTGCAGAAGTTGGATACATCTCCCATTCCTTCCCCGGTTTGACGAACCTTTCAGACCACTCGTAATATAATCCTCGTCTCCTTCTAACCAAAAACCTCATAGTTTAGAAAATTCAACATCATCGTTAAAAGTTATTCCCCCCCCAAAAAAAAACCCAAAACTATTTGCACTCCCCTTTCGCCTTTATTTTGCAAATTGATTCGTGGAAAATCGTCGGTGTTTGGTTCAATAAACGTGATGGAAAAAACACGAGGCTTTTGCACTGAACAGTGTTCCTGCAGAAGTGGCTTCACAACTTAACAACAACAACAAAAAAAAGAACAGCGAATGATTTGCCGTTTGCACTCGATTTGCAGCGTTCGGTAGTTTTAACCAAATTTAGAAAGCGACTGTATTTTTCAATATTTTCCAATCTCTGCCGAATAGGTGTCTTTAAAAAAAACTTCCGCTGGAAATCTCTGCATCATTTCGAAGGCACTTTGCAGACTCATAGCTTTTGTGCAAAAAAACACACCCACAAAAACCCAGCCTCGAGTAACGTGTGCTTTAAAAAGTACAGACATATTTCACTTCAAGTTGCAGGGGATGATTTCGGAATCGCCATTCAGCAATTAAAATCTGCATTTCCCCATCTGCTCCAGTACTGTTCAATACTTGCTTTTTAATTTTTTTTTAAAAAAAACTCTCACTTCTAAACATTCTCGCAGAAAATAATTGAGCGTAGAAAATAACCGTTTGCAAAGGGACGTCGAGAATGAGAATTGCCTTGTGTTTTCTTTTATATTTATACAGTGGGGCGATATGTTTCTGGGACAGCATTTGATGTAATGCTTTGCAGAGATACCCTTTTGAATGACAGATTCGCTGCAGAAGCCAAATACTAACTCCTTGCAACATGTAACGGTGCTTCCACTGCCCGGGAATATTGCTCTCCTACCTTTTGCCAAACATATATGTTTTTTTTAAAAAAAAACTCAAAAGGTTTGAAGCTGTCTGCGGGAGGGAATTTGATGCAACAGCAGTTTTTTTTAAAAAAAATATTTGCTATGATTTCTGTGACACACCTATTCTCTTGATCGGAAATCAGATTGGACTCAAATTATATACATATCAGAACAGAAACAATGAACAACTCGAGGCATTTAAAAAAAATAACGACTCTGTGTTTTCCTCCATGTTAGTGCATACATGTTAAATGTGTCATGCGAGGCAGATTGATGGTGAGAAGCTGCTCATCGCCCGGAACGACACAAAGGCACTTACTTCCCAACAAGGACGAATAGGGAAAATATAATAGAAAGTCTCATCTTTAGGGATGGATCAAAAATGCTTAGAAACAGAGACTTGGTTGGGATCAAGTCCAGAAGCCTACTCACTCAAGCAGGTCAGAGGGCAGCAAAATAAAGAGGAATACAATTGGAAATATGTAGAAAGTAAAGATCAGACACAGTGACCCATTCCTCTGTTCTCCAGATCTCTCTCAACCAAAACCTTTCTTCTCAAAACCTCATAAAAACACATGATTCTTTGACTGAGCATTTGGTCAACATCTTTAAATCGCAAATCACAAATGCAAAAGCATTGAGGTATTTTTCTAGGTGAGAGGTATTACACGAGGGTAAACTGTTGATGGACAGATATTCTTAAACCAATTATTCCTATTAAATGATGGGCCAGTAACCCATATTTCCCAATCATATGATGTAATATCAGTTCATTGTGGTTCACTGTTGAATCAATGCTAAATATGAAATACAGTTGCAGTTTAAGTGGTATTGGTGCAATGATACCATTACAATCTTCAGGAAGGGGTTTTGTTGGGACATTGATTGGCACCATTGCATTATAACCCAAGGTGGGACAAATTGAGATGGCCACTGTCCCAAATCAGTCCTTTAAAACATTCCTGGATAGTTGCTGAATTTGCTAAGCACCAGTTTATTTGTTGTTATTGGAAGCAACTCTGACAATGTCTGATGGGAATTTTGCCTCTGAAAGAGGAAGCATGATCTATGAAGCAACATTTTCAACATAGTCATATGACCCAGGGCCACATAGAATATCACAGATGCTTGTACACAAATGCAAATTATCTTCAGTTAGATGTGTATTTTTGCAATCCCTGCACACATGGAACCTCTGGAATGGCTAATCTGTTAATTGTTCATGCAAACAGGTCAGGTTAAACCTTTATTATTCACTCAATGCTCGAGGCTACCCGATGTAAGCCTCTTATTTGTAAATTCCTTATGGTGCCCTTTACTGTGAATAAAAAGCTAAAAACAAAAAGAAGAATCACTTTAAGATACAGCATGTTTTGAAAACACTCTGAGGAGTATATTCTGAAAGACAAGGGGCCCTAAAATGCATCAGAGTCCAATGTTTAGCACAATAGAGTGAGGCTGTATTAACAAGTTTCCCACAAGCCGAGTTCCTGATCTCAAACTGTGTCTTCAGAGGTAGACACTAAGAGTGAAATGCTCCTGGCATTGACATGTTTACCTTCTTGTGATGATGGCAATGGATGGTCAATATTCATGCATGGAAAATGGCCACTTGATCACCTGGCAATCATGGTACCATGCGTTTGCTATTTTTTGTACTTTTATAGAGTAACATGTAAATGTTGCAGCAGTTTTCACCACCGATCCTGAGGCCTGGTAGTCATTGCCAACAGTTACGTTTGGTGCAGGTTTTGTTTTACTGTTCTTTGGTTATATTTATTTACTCTCTGTGAGCAGCACAAGTGGGGGACGTTGCTATTTCCAGCTGACAGTTTGCCATTTGAGTTGAAAAGTTAAGGGTTGCTTTGTAGTTACTCAAGTAGAAGTGTCTGGTGATTGGTGATTCACTTCATGCCTTCTTGCTTGTGGGACATTGCCGTATGCAAATTGTCTGCCTGCAAATTACACAGTCACTACACTTTACAGCTAATCCTGTGAAGCACTTAAGACCTTCTCATGACACGAAAGGTTCTATATCAAATGCAAGGACTATTATTGTTATCATTGTTCTTCAAATGATGGAAGCTGTCAATGTTACGATGCTTTCAAGGCAGTGGTGCCCACCTACGAGTAGATTGCAGTTGGTGCAGGTTGCAGGAACATTCAACAACCAGGAACAGGTTGAACAATGGAAATCACAACCAGAAAACAAAGAGGATTTGTTTGGCACAGAGTCATTTAACCCTCAGCAGCCATGCTGTTTATGACTATGTCAACATTGGCATTGGTCACACTGTTGCTGGAAGTGATTCAGGACCCATGCCATCTATCATGAGGTTTTTTGCCTGCAAGACTTTACAGGCTATTGATTGCATGGCACGTGGTATGTTTGTTCATGACATTTCTAGAAATCGTGCACTGGTTTACAACTAATGCAGCTTTATAGCATCCCTGCATGCCTTTCTCCTTCACTATAGCTACAGCCTCAGAGCACATTTACTGGAGAGGTCTGTTTGCTTATCATTCTTGGTCTCTTGCTTTTCTCCCGTTTTATTTTTTATCCAGTTCATTGTTCTCTCTCTCTCATGCCCTCTGTCTCCTTGTCACCGATTTCTGTCTCACTCCTGGTTTCCATCGCTCCTCACTTTTTCCCAGCTTGTTTCATTCCATCTAGCACTCATCAGCATTTCTTTCAGTTTTCTGAGATTTTCAAACATTTCTGTCATTCTTGTTCTATCCTGGCATTTCTCAGTTCACTGTTCACTCGCTCTTCCATGCTAAGCCTATGATGTAAACATTGGGATGCACAAAAAGAGTGTCACACCGATGGGTGATAACTCCAGCACTTGCAGGAAGATAACACAGCTTTAGTTTATGAACGAAAATAAAAGTTTACACTTGAATAAAAATAATAAGTAGGAATCGGTTTGATAACCAAAAGACCTATTGCCATTTAATGGTTTGAAATAAATAGACCATTCTTCACAACACTAATGGAAGCAATTCATTCCAGTGCCTCACACGAATGATGTGGCTGTGCAATAATCAGTGGCTTATTTTTCACAGGTCATTACATCCCAACATGTAGCTGCCACATAAAAGTTGTGGGAAACAATCCTCCACTAATCCCGAAAGCATTGTATTTATTCCTTAATTCTAATTTCATGTATTGTTCCCATATATATTTTCTATTTCCAACTCTGGGGAGTGTACCATTTGTGTGTTAGATCAGGTTGTTCATGTGCATTGTTTTGGGGCTATTATCTGTTAAACAGTGGATGCTAACATGAAGGGCACTCTATAAATGCAAGTTGCTGTTGTTTATATTGGAAGTAAATAGAATTGATACTTCTATTTAATAATAACATAATATATAACATTAATAATAATTATTATTATCCCTGCATTTGATATAGCACCTTATCACATTATTGAGATGTCTCAAAGCGCTTCACAAAATATTTTTTTTATAAAGTGGATTGACTGTGTATTTTGTGGACGAAACGCGGCAGCCAATTGCGCACAGCTGTGTCCGACAAACAGTCGTGGATTGACTGACCAAATTTTTATTATTAATAAGGAGTCCCGTAGCTCAGTGGTTAGAGCAGTCACCTCGCAAGCGAGAGACCTGGGTTTAATTTCCAGCAGGGTGAAACCTTGGGCAAGTTTCCTTACTCCACACGTCTGATAATAATCCTTCAAGAAAAAAAACAATAATAAAATTGGTCACTTCAATCTACAACTGTTTGTGGGAGTGGGAGGAATTATTACCTTATTATTATTATAAGCATGGATTTAGAGTGGAAGGCAACGATAGAAACTTAAAAACATTACTATTACTTATTGTATTATAATAATCACTTAGCTCAGCAGTTAGAGCACTCGCCTCGCAAGCGAGAAACCTGGGTTTGATTCCCGTCAAGTTGAAATGTTGGGCAAATTTCCTTACTCCACAAGCCTCTGTTTACCTAGTAGTAAGTAGGAACCTGGTTGTTAGTTGATTGGTGGATTGCTTTTCCGGGGATAATAATTCCTTCAAAAACATAAATTGCTCCTGCTGTGCACACTTGGCTGCCGCGTTTTGCCCACATAATATCCAGTCAATTAACTTTACAGTACATTCTGTGAAGCGCTTTGAAACGTCTCGAAGACGTGATAAGGCGCTATATCAAATTCAAGGATTATTATTATTATTAAATTATTAATGGACTAACATCAGGCAATAGTAATAACATTATTTAATATTTTACAGTAGAAAGCATACCATTAAAAAATATGAATTCTGTTCATGGGAATAGTCTGAAAAGCTAATATAATGAAGTTGTGAATCATTTATTCCAGTGACAACCATCTGGAAGGGCTTACTTTCTGGAATCCCAAAAAGAGTAAAACCCTATTCACAATTCAGTGTAGAGAATTGTTTCTGGTTCTTTGGCGCCATCTCCTGGAGGATTTTATTAATTACATAGAACAGCACAGAAACAGGCCATTCAGCCCAACTAGTCTGCACCAGTGCGCCACTGTGTAGCACCTACCTCTATTATCTTATACTTCACGCACGCTTCAAGTTTCCTTTGAAATACATTGATGCTTCAACCACAGCTTCTGGAAGTGAGTTACACATTCTCACCATCCTAAAGATAAAGAAGTTCCTCCTAAACTCCCTATTACATCCACCACTAGCTATTTTATAATGATGGCTCTCCTTTCAGAGTAAACTGCATGAGCTTACAGTTGCGGAACAGCAATGTTTTTAAGTTTCTGTTGTTGTCGTCCACTCGAAATCCATGGTCACGATATCCTTTGATTGAGAAAATAAACGAAATTGTGCAATAACTCTTTTAAGTGCAACTCCAACATGTAACATTAGACTGAGTTATGTGACCTGACATAATTTCATGGTTACCTTTGGAAGAATTCATTTATCCCTTGTGTATTGCCCATTTGCACTAACCCATAACCAACACTGTGATCAAAGGACTGGACTTATAGCCAGATGAATTGCATTTTCTTTCACAGTGTGTGCTGTGAAGTGATAAACCCTATCAATTTTTATTGTTAATAATAATAATCCTTACATTTGATACAGCACTTTTCTGTGAACAACAACAACAAATACTACTACTTTACATTTATATATAAGCATCTCTCACATCAGGAGAATTTTACAGGCACTTTACTTATAAAGTGTAGTGACTGTGTATGTTATAAGCGAATGTTGCATCCACGTTGTGTACTATAATACTATACATTTCAACAAACATGTATTTTTCTCTACAAATGCATCAGGATGTTATTATGATATGTTTGTGGAATGGGAAATGTTTACCTCTTTGTAAAATATAGCTGCATTCAGCATGCCCAAGGCAACTTTGCCTGTTTTAACCAAACAAATGGAACTTTTCCGAAGTAAACATTTTATTTCTGTACCAAAATGTATACAAAATCTATAACTTTATGTATTACCTGGTCAAGATGACCACATTGGTACCAGCTGATACAGACCATTACTGAAACCACTATTCAAAAAGAAAATGGAGTTTCTCCTGATGTCCTGGCCACAGCAACTCCGCAATAAAATTGGTTACTCACTTCATGGCTATTTGTGGGACATTGATGTGTGCAAATGGCTGCCACACTTGCCCACAAAATCCATACAACCACATCACTTTACAGGAAACCCTTTGAAAAGCTTTCAGATAAATCAACAATGTGTTAAGGGCCTAAATCTAAGTAAG